ATCTTTCTGCCTTGGCCTCCCAAAGTGCTGGGATTACAGGCATGAGCCACTGTACCCAGCCCATAATACTATTCATTCCTTGAACACATACATACTCTTTACTAATTTAGGAGAAAAAATAGGGTAATCCTTACCAAATTACTCAAAAACTATCTTTAAAGACATGCCGCTTTATTCCTTTTAAATATATAAAGTAGGCCGCACGTGGTGGTTCATGCCTGTAATTCTAGCACTTTGGGAGGCCGAGGCGGGTGGATCACGAGGTCAGGAGATCAAGACCATCCTGGCTAACATGTGAAACCCTGTCTCTACTAAAAACACAAAAGAATTAGACGGGTGTGGTGGCAGGCACCTGTAGTCCCAGCTGCTTGGGAGGCAGAGGCAAGAGAATCGCTTCAACCCGGGAGGCAGAGGTTGCAGTGAGCTGAGACCATGCCACTGCACTCCAGCCTGGGCAACAGAGCAAGACTCCGTCTCAAAAAACAAAACAAAAAATATGTATATATAGTAAATTGAAGAGCTAACAAAATGTAATCAAATAGTGGTTTTACTGGCCATACTTCTAATGATTTGTACGTAAATTAATTCTGGTAAGAAGTTTTTAGGTTGTTCAAGAACAGTTGTTTTTCCTGTTTGTTTGTACTATCCACAATGGGTTTTTGTTTATTTGTTTTTCTATATTTTATTCAGAGTTCCTTGGTTTGAACCTGGTGTCCTTTTCCTGTTCCAGGCATCCATCCAGGATACCACATTATGTTTAGTCATTGTGTGTTCTTAGGCTCCTCTTGGCTATAATAGTTTCTTAGAATTTCCTCGTTTTTGATTGTCTGGACATGATTACCTTGACAGTTTTGAGGAGAAGTGGTCAGGTATTTTGTAGAATGTCCCTCATACAATAAAAATTTTTTTAGTTCTTTATGCATTTCTTGCCCCCACTAACACAAAATAGATCGTGAAAGTGCCATGATTAAAGATACATTATATAAAGTAAAAGTATGAGAGAGAAAAATAAATTCTTATAAGGATCTGGGAATGCTTTTCATCACAAGTAACGTTGTCCATGAAATAATTAGTTGTGTTTGTGGTAGGATAGGGGGTGCCGCATGAAAATCAAGAGTGCAAGTCGTGTTCTAGTAACAGACTAATAGAATTGCAGTGTGCTGTGAGTAAGGTGCGATTAGAAGTAACTAAAGTTTGGCAGGGGCCTCAGGGCTTTTTTCCCTCCTGACACCAAATAAATGGTATCTTTTCCAACAACACTTCTCTAACTCTCTGACATCATCTGGGTGTCCTACAATTCTGACACTAACTATCC